TAACCCTGGCAGGCAGCTAAGCACCGCACAGCTGCTTGCTGACTTCTCCCCCACACCCCCAGTGGGACATGGGAAGAGAAAACGCAGATTAAAAGTAGGAAACTTGGGGGTGAGATAAAAATAGTTTAATAAGCAAAGAAGAAGTGGTAGAAGAGAGAAAGAAAACAAAAGAAAACAAGTGATGCAAAGGCAATCACTCACCACCTCCCATGGGTAGGACCAATGCCCAGACAGTTCCCAATCAAAAGATGGTTAGCCTCTCTAAACCCCCTCCTCTCCCTTATTGCTGAGCATTACATTATATGGCATGGAATATCTCCTTGGTTAGTTTGGGTCATCTGCAGGTTATGTCCTCTCCCGATCTCTTGCACACCCCCTAGTCTATTCACTGGTGGGGCAGTGTGAGAAACAGAGAAGGGCTTGACAGTATGCAAACACTGTTCAGCAACACCTAACACACTGATGTATTATTAGCATTGGTGTTGCTACAAATCTAAAACACAGCACCATATGAGCTGCTATGAAGACAAACAATTGCATCCCAGCTAGACCCAATACATGTATAAAGCAAACTGATAAAAATTTTTCTTGTGAACAGTTATCAACTTCTCTGTAGTTTAAAGGAAGCAGCATCATAGAAGATGAGCAAAAGCCACTTGGGGAGAAAAAAACCCAAGTAAAACACTGGCCAAAAATAAAAAAACCTCTTGTTAAAGCATTAAATGTGCCCAGGTCCCTTTGTTTTTCAGGATCAATGCTCTTAAACATATTCATAAACAATATGAAAATGAGATGATCAATGAGGTGCCAAAGTTTGTAGATGATAATTAGTTATTTATCATATTACTTTGATAAAGAACACTGACAAAAATCTAAAAATATAACTACATAGTTATCTTAGCTAAACACCATTTTCATAAATTCTGTGTTTCCTATTTAACCTTCTCTTAGTTTTTTTAGATTTTTTTTGTGTTTGTTTTGGGGGATTTTTTTTGGTCATGGCTGTTTTTGTTTCTTTGGTTTTTTTAAGAGTTTTAAACCTTATAGTTTAGGCAACAGCAATGGAATTCCAACATAATACATCCCTCACTTTATTCTATTTTCAGTTTTTGTGTAATATGCATTATATTTCTTGAAGGAAAAAGAATAAAGCTGAGTAGTTTATAAAACAACCACCCACTAATACCATACCTCTGATCCTTCTGCATTAAAATGATCCAGTGCTTGTTTCCTCAATTCCCCTTTTATTGATCCATCAAGTCTCTAAAGAGATTGAATAATACAGTTAAAAAGGAAATCCTACTATATTCTAATCAGAATAACTTGAATTCTCAAATGCCAAAACAACTGGGGGGAGGGGAATAAGTGTAAACTAACACTTCATCTAATTCATCGGTTTCATTTCAAAATAGTATTTAGCATATAGTAATTGCCATTCTTTTCCTGTACATAAAATTAAACTTTCATAAATCTTTCTACAAAAAGGACACTTCTTAAGATAAAATGGTAAAAGATCAAGGCTTCTTGGCTACTACCAGCAAAATTCTTACCTGAAAGGGAAACTGACGATACTTCAAATACTCTGCTAGTATGTCTAGCATCCTCACCATCTGAGAGAAAATCAGTACTCTGTTGCCACGTTCTCGTAGACGAATCAGTAGCTTGTCAAGAAGGATTAGTTTTCCACTGCTACGTATTAAATGCTACAAGACAAGAAAACGCGTATTGCAAAATAAGGTCACCTCAACACTGATATACACTGCAGATGGTTAGACATTCATTAACTGAACATGAAAGTTATCAAGTATTTAGTCAATCCTGATCTTGTAAAACCTCATTATAAAAGCATTAAGAACTGTAATTGAAATCAACAGGAGTACCGACATATTTCAAATAAATGCATTTCTCAGCTCTGGCTCATAAAACAGCATCTTAACATTTCATTAAAATATTAAGTAAATATACTGTGCTATCAGTTAAAGCAGTTACAGCGTAGACTCAAATTCTTTTCTACCAAATAAACAATGAAGAGACTACCTGAATACCTTACTTTCTGTCTTTTGAACAGAAATAAGCATTGCTACTTGATTCTCTAAGTATTTTTAAACAATGCCTAATCAGTCAAGTTTCTCAGGCAAGATAAAAGCGAGGGAAATCTTGTTTGTAGAGGCCAACAGGCTTTAACTAGGTTACAATGTTAAGCCTTCTCAGCTACAGTGGTAACAACTAGAACAGAAATTCAGGTGCATGCCAAATTTAACATTGAAAATATTGGGTGTCTTTAGCTGAAGAGGTTCAGGATAGAATACTGGGGAATAAAAAATTTGGAGTTAGGTGCTTTTATTCTTTATGCCAGAAATGAAAAGGAGGTATCATTCATAATTAGAGCTAACAAAGCTTATTCAGAGGAGCCAAGGAAATCATTGTTACAAGTATGCAATTATTATCAATAATGGCTGAACAGTTCTGATGAGTTTAATTATAAAATTAAGTAGAGTGTGCAAAGATGCAAATTAAACATAATTTAGCTATGATATACACTATATAATATAAAATAGCTTGTGCAGTGTCAGCTTGTGATGTCAATCTAGTAGTACTGGGAAAGGATTTAAATTATGAACTTCAAAGCTTCCAGGACAAAAAAAAAAAAAAAAAGCCCTGATCTTAAGAAACATCATTGCAGCCTTCCAGTACCTGAAGGGGGCCTACAAGGATGCTGGGAGGGGACTTTTTACAAGGGCCTGTAGTGATAGGACAAGGGGTAACGGGTTTAAATTGAAAGTGGGGAGGTTTAGATTAGATATCAGGAAGAAATTCTTCACAGAGAGGGTGGTGAGGCACTGGAACAGGTTGCCCAGAGATGTTGTGGATGCCCCATCCCTGGATGTCTTCAAGGCCAGGCTGGATGAGGCTTTGAGCAACCTGGTCTAGTGCAAGGTGTCCCTGCCCATGGCAGGGGTTTGGAACTAGATGATCTTTAAGGCCCCTTCCAACCCAAACCATTCCATGATGATTTATGTTGTTATAAGATGCATCAATTATAATAGTCCTTTAATGTGTTGCTGTGGTTCTCAACAGTTATAGTACAAAGTTTACCTTTACCAAAAAAAAAAAAAAAACAACCTATAAACCCACAATCACAAATCATCTTTGGTAGTGATGCTATAATTGCTTTCATTTGTAACAACAAAACAGACTATGCTTTGGATATTTATTAAATTTATTTCTATTCACTTTGGTTGTTTGAAGGCATGCAGAGAACAGTGTTTGATTATTCTGCAGATTACTTTCAGTTATTACATGGATTATCGGTGTACCACTGCCAGTCACATGCATTTGCATTTATATTCAATTTACCTTTTTATTTCAGTGCTTTATTTTAATCTGGGTTTAAAATAAGTCTTAAGTTTATTTAGCCTGAAAATACACAGGCTATTTCAAACTATTTCCTTTTAATTTTGATTATAATTCAAGCCAGGGATATTTTATTTAGTATTGATCTCTCTATTATTCAGCCCTAGTTAAGAAAGAAGCAAACAAACAAACAATCAATTCACTTACCTGTAAAATCCGGGATGCACATTTAATAGAGATCTTGTTGTTTCTCAAGATACTTTAATAAGAACTAATAAACTGCAGAACACTATAAAATTACTCTGTGCATATTAGAGATATAAATACACTTTAAAAAAATTTTAAAAAAGGTATTACCTGTAAGGCCTCCTGTTTATTATAGAATTCATTATCATCCGGTGATTTAATGAGGTAGCAATGGTTACAACACTTCTTGAGTTCCATCATGATGTTCAAAAAGCCTGAGGTACTGCCTTTTAAACCTTTACTCAGGGCTTTATAATTCCTGGTTAAAATCCACCTATGATACAGAACATGCAATGGAAGTAATTTCTAACCATTTGTGGAAATATGAAGGATGTAAGCTCAAAATATCAGTTCAAATTGCATTAAGAAAACTATTACACTTCAGTAATTTTCATACATATATATCGTTATAATAGCAGGAATAAAAAAGTGGCATTACTGACTTGTAATATTGCTTCTGCAATGCACTCATTTCCATCCTCAAAATTTGTTCAACCTTAGCAGGCAAAGACTTTTCTACATCTTTTTTAACTCTTCTGAGTAGAAATGGTTCAAGTTCTTTGTGAAGACTTGCATAACCAAACTCTCTCCCTTTGCCATGCTCCTCTTCAAAATCTTCCCAGGAAGAAAACCTTCAACATAAGACAGAATAAAGGTAAAATAGTGACACACCATGAACACAGACACACAAAGACCATAAATATAACACATGCGCACAAACACATATGGACTTTTTTCAGACTCCCCTCTGTGTTATTAAATAAATTTCTGAATTTGCATCTCACAAGAAATTCTAAATATTTTGTCTGCAAATAGGATAATGGAAATTTCCAAACTTTTGCAGAATGAAAATTTGAAACAAACTACTGAATTTTAATTTCTCCAGTGAAAAACTAACATTTTGCTTTTCTGCATGGAAACCCAGGTAGAAGGTTGCAGAAATTCCATTATATTTTTCAAGAGCAGCATGAAAAAATAGTTGTATAGCTGGAGGAAGCGCAAGAGAACAGACCACTTCACATACATTTTGCAGCTTGTATGGACTACCTGAAAAGTGATTATGCTGTGGTATGTGCTAACAGACTAAGAGAACAGACTTTGTGATCAAATGAAGGTGCCAGACAACCAACTTAGTGGCTTTGCTTGTAAGCTTCTGAGGAAGTCTATGCAACACACAGTTCCAAAACTGACTGAAGTTACAATGCTTTGTATTTACAAGACGTCAAAAAGGAACACGTGCTTTTATTTATCCCAGATATAAAGAGAGGTCAGTACAGAATAACACCTATACAGTAAACCATAAGGGTGAATTGGCTGTCTGACTGAACTGGATATTGGACATTGTGGTATAATCATGTTTTCATTCATGATACTAACACAGAAGACATCCTCAGCCCCATTCTATATCCCTAGAGTAAATCCACGTGATTTTAGATTAAGATGAAGAGTCTTTTCAGGGTTCATTTTGAGCCAGAAATCAATCCATCTTTTTTGTGGACTGCTAAAACAGAAAGTGACAACTGCTACCAAAAAACTTTATCAAGAGCAGCATTAAAAATATGTGCATATATTTTATATGAATGGGTAATGGGTTTAAATTGAAAGTGGGGAGGTTTAGATTAGATATCAGGGAGAAATTCTTCATGGAGAGGGTGGTGAAGCACTGGAACAGGTTGCCCAGAGAAGCTGTGGATGCCCCATCCCTGAATGTCTTCAAGGCCAGGCTGGATGTGGCTTTGAGCAACCTGGTCTAGTGCAAGGTGTCCCTGCCCATGGCAGAGGGGTTGGAACTGGATGGTCTTTAAGGTCCCTTCCAACCCTAACCATTCTAGGATTCTATGAAATATTTAAACTATTTCACAATGCAATTCTTTATTGATTCTCCAATCGCTACAATATTCCGCCATAAGAAATTGACCACAAGAAAACCCCCAAAGAAACCATGTTCCTTACTTTTCTGGCATGATGAAGTGCAGTAAAGACCAAAGCTCTTTGAGGGAGTTTTGCAGAGGGGTTCCAGTAATAAGAAGACGATGATTAGACTTAAAGTCTATTAAAGTCTTGTACAGAAGGGAATCATCATTTTTTAAACGATGAGCTTCGTCAACTCCTATAAATACCCAATTCAGACCACCAAGGAATGACTTAAAGAAGGGGGGGAAGACATACAAGTTAATATATTATGCAATTTTTGACATTTTACATGAGGTTATATATACACCATCACTCCTTTTATTTTAATAAAAAATGGACACCTATATGTTTTCATTATTAATTATGGGGTTTATGTCTGCTAGATTCAAAGAAAGGCTATGAAGGCATCCCAAGTTTAAAAGGAAAGTATAAACCAATTATATACTTGGGGAGGAGGAAAGCAAAAAGTACATCTATAAATTTTCAATTGAAAGAAAAAAAAAATTCACTATTGACTCTCCTTTTTCCAGCATGTACAAACAAATGAAATAAAAAGCCAACAAACAGAACTTTTTCTTTATTAAAATTTTCATATGTTGTGAGGATTAACAATAACTCTATGTGCTACCATCATGAAGAGATTATTAATATACATAATACTGCCCACACAAATATAAAGACAAAACATGGGATTTCAGAGTTGTGAATCACAGGTGTTTGGGGCTAGGAGTTGGTTTGTTTTTTCAGTTCCTGGATGATGGTCTAACAGGAAAGTAGAGATTTTGAGATGCAAAGAAATTATTACAGTAATGTAAAGCTCAAGCAAACTGAAGAAAAAGAAGTT